GCGGTGCGTGTAGCTGGGGGGGGGCGGGGGGGTTGTCTGCAGTCTCGGGGGTGCGCCCCCCCCAGCCCCTAACCTTTGGGATAATATTCCCTCCTAGATTGAGCTCCTTCAGCGAGAATTTTCAGAGAATTTGGCGCCTGGGAGGGGACTGAGGAGCCAGAGGCCCAGGGAGAGAGGAAATCGCAAGGAAAGAAAGCAGCGCGAGGTGCGTGGGGAGGAAAGCAGCCGCCAGGGGGCGAGGCCACCGGTAGATTTGACTAACCCCGCGGCCAGGGCTCCAGAGCGGTACCGAGGACCGGGCTCCTTCCCGGGACCCTAGGCCTCCCTCTCCCGCCTGACTCCTCACCTGTGTAGACAAAGCGGCCGGGGGCTCCCTTGCAAAACTGCTTGGACTTGTAGGACAGGGTCACCTCCACCACCCCGGGGATGTGCCGCGGGGGCGTCTGCACCCGGATGGCGTGGGGCGTGATGAGCTGCGAGGGGAGAGAGGAGGCCTGCGGGTGAAGCCCCCGGGAGAGAAAGGCCCAGCCCCGAGCCCGGACGGAGTCTGACGGGGGCGGGGAGGGGGATGGCCCACCTCACTCCACACGAGCACGTTCCCGAACACGACCTGCAAGCCGTCGAAGAAGTTGTCGCCGATGACAATGACGGTGGCGCCGCCCGTGGTCCAGCCCTCCCCCGGGCTGATGGCCTTTATGCAGGGGGTGGCAGCTGGGAGGCGGGAGAGGAGCCAGGTCAGGGGCTGGCCCCAGGGTGGGGACGGGAGGCTGGCCGGGCCTGCGGCAGCGGGGGCTGAACCGGGGGTCCTGACCTTCGGAGGGGTCCAGGCGGCGCGCCCTGCGGCCGTGCTTGGAGTTGTTGTGCACAAACATGTTGTCAGACACGGCCAGCACGTGTCCGTCCACGCTCACGGTCGTGGACACCACCACCTGCGGGGAGAGCCGAGGCCAGCCTGGCTGGAGCCCTGAGGACGGGGGAGGCTCCCAGGAGGAACCTTGTGGGGCACCAGCAACTGGAGGCTGGCGGCTGGAATTCAGGGTCACTGACACGGGAAAAGCTTCAGCCCCTCAGGGTTGTGGAAGGGAGCCAGCTGGGTCAGGTGACATTCCCAGAAGCCCAATTTCTGACTGCCCAGGGCAACTGACCCCCGGAGCTAGAAAAGTCAAGAGCTCTGGGGGGGGGGGGGGGAGGAGGGGACTGTCTCCTCCGGTGGAGTGACTACGGTTTCTGCAGACACACAGTAGCCCAGGCTCTGTTCCTGGGGCTCCAAGGCAGGAATGGGTCTTAGGCAAGTGAAGTGAGAGTTTTGATTAGGGGGTCAGTACCAGCTTGAGAGCCCACCAGCAGGAGCCCCCACCCTTGGGAGGAAATTGGGGCTGCCTGCTTCCCCCCTCCTTCCCTGGGACCGGTGTGCAGGTTGGGGATGTGCTAAGGGCAGCTGCTCGCTGCTTCACGCTATGCAAATTAGCTGGGTCGTTAATCATGTAAAAATGTCACAATTAGCATCTCCTTAAGTGGGGCTCTAATGAAGCCTCCCTTGGCAGCCAGCAGAAGCTGAGATGGAGCCACCCCACCCCCAGCAGGCATCAGACCCTGAAGCACAGGGCTGGGCTGGGTTGGGCAGGGATCTGCCCTCGAGGCCTTTCCCAGGGTGGCAGGGGTACCCCTGACTCCCACTAACAGGAAAGGGCAGGTTTGCAGGCGTGAACCCTCTCCCCAGACCCACCTGGAAGCGACGCATGTCTCGGGGATTCCCCGCGTTCTTTAGGCAGTTCTGGTTGCATTTGAGGAAGAACTTGAGGAAGAACCTGAAACAGTATGGCGGTGGGCTCAAGGGTCTGGAGGTTCTGGAAACAGATGAAGATCCAACTGCTCCCTGCTATGCCCCCTCCCAGTAGAGTGACTGCATTCTGTCTGCTCACATGCAGACACACACCCAATATTCCTATCACAAGCGACACACACACAGGATGCCTGATATCCACGCAGTAGACCCATCCCAACAACTATTTCATACACAGACTACCCCCACAGCGTAGGAATCACACAGTGCCTATTTGTCCCACAAAGTGGATTCTTAAAGAATATGTCCATTATGTATACCATATATACCTATTACTCATGATTATACCCACCACACAATGTATACATATGCAGCAGGTACTCACACTTACCTGTAAACTTATCCCACTCCATGTATATGTCACAGTATATGCCCATCTCACATATACTGGTAGTGCGTCCATATCACATAGCATGCCCCTCCCCAGAGTGTATCCATCACCCACACAGTGTATACTTGTCATAAAAGTACATTCATTCTGCCCTGACCAGTTTGGCTTAGTGGATAGAGCGTCGGCCTGCGGACTGAAGGGTCCCGGGTTCGATTCCAGTCAAGGGCATGTACCTTGGTTGCGGGCGCATCCCCATTGGGGGGGCGGGTGCAGGAGGCAGCTGATCGATGTTTCTCTCTCATCGATGTTTCTAGCTCTCTATCCCTCTCCCTTCCTCTCTGTATAAAATCAATAAAATATATTTTTTTAAAAAGTACATCCATTCTATACACTGTAGATGCCTTATATACTATTACTCACAAAACATAGCCATCACAAAGTGTATACTCACCACACTCGGGGTATATCCTTCATATAAGCCTATTCAATATGTACGCCACACACAGTCTGTACTTATCACATACATATGGTACACTAATCACATGCAGAGTCTCTCCATTACTCACAGTGTATGACCATCCTCCATAGTATATGTACAGAAAGAATATGACAGTATACTAGTATGCGTTAATATACCATTTTGTTATATAAGATCACCCTAAATACAGCCATTGCAAGTACTGTATAGTCATCACATATAGTAAGCAGATCTCCCCAACAAATCCCCCTCACGCACAGCAGATCTTGCTCACACACAGACCCCTGTAGAACACTCTGAGGTGCAGACATGTCATGTGACCCCAAAGAGTGCACACCCATCATGTATACACTCCATCCACCTCTACAAGATACCCTGCAGACAGACAGCTTTTATGTCCCCATAAGGTCGTCACCACAGTGTAGATGCCATATATAATCCAATAGGTCCTCCCCAAGGTGCAGGCAACGCAAATGCTCCCAAATAGTACATCTGCACGTGTAGACACTCCATTTATATCACATTATATGCCATTGTAAGGACTCCTTACACCCCTATAAGATACTCCATGGTGCCCTGACCGGTTTGGCTCAGTGGATAGAGCGCCGGGCTTGTGGACTCAAAGGTCCCAGGTTCGATTCTGGTCAAGGGCATGTACCTTGGTTGCAGGCACATCCCCAGTAGGAGGTGTGCAGGAGGCAGCTGAATTGATGGTTCTCTCTCATCGATGTTTCTAACTCTCTATCCCTCTCCCTTCCTCTCTGTTAAAAATCAATAAAATATATTTAAAAAAAAGATACTCCATGGTACAGACACTTCTTTGCCCACAGTAGTCACCATGCATGCCCCACATTTATGACAGTGTTGACACCCTAATCACACACAGTGTAGAACAGTTTATTTAAATTCCATGTTAATGTACTCAGTCCTTTACAAGGTGCTAAACTGAGGAGGACAAAATAGCGGGATAGGACATAGTCCTAAGGGGGATTAATGCGAACCCTGGGATGTCACCGATGATTCAACTTCAAAGATGGCACCACTTCCCTTACATGCTCACACGTGCCCATTGCATGAAATCCACTCCCAACCTACAGTCTCCAGAGGAAGGGTCCCTGGATAGGGCTGGAGAGCTAGGCTCTGGCCCAGGCAGACTCATTGTGTGGTCTGGAGTAAATCCTGCATCTCTGGCATCCACTTTCAGCCATAAACCAGGAGAGCAGTAATTGATGGCTGCTGAGGCGCCTTCCAGTTCTGCCTCTGGACATCCTTTCAGTGGTCTCAACCTTCCTAATGCCGCGACCCTTTAATACAGTCCTCATGTTGTGGTGACCCCCAACCATAAAATTATTTTCGTTGCTACTTCATAACTGTAATTTTGCTACTGTTATGAATCCTCATGTAAATATCTGATATGCAGGATGTATTTTCAGGGGTCGCGACCCACAGGTTGAGAACCGCTGCTTTAGTTCCTACCTCCCAATGCCTCGGGCTGCTGTTTCCTGCAGGGTCCTGGCTCCCCCTGGGGAAACTCCCGTCTTGGCCTCTTCCACAGCCCTTGCTCGCAGGTCTTCCCACCCTTTCCCTTTCCAGTACAGGTTGCTTTTGTCCTTTGGGTCTACACCAATTCCCACTTCCTGTCTGGCCTTTGGGGACCACGCCTCCCTGAGAGCCCCAGGGCCCTTCCGGCACCTCCACCTGTGCAGACCTGCCCAGGACATCTCAGTTTGTGAGCCTGGTTGGCTTTACTGGTGTTGAGTAAAAAGCAGCCACGCAAGGCCTGAGCCCTCCGTGGGGGTGATGAGAGTCAGTTCCCTTTTGCCTTTCCTCCGAGCCTGTGGCTTAGAACTGCACGCAGTTGATGCCATCAATGGTGGAGCTGCTGAAATCTCACCCACTGCCAGCTGGTAGTCCATGGGCTGCTCCCACCCCGTCGGAGGCCCAGCCAATGCTCACACTCTCCTGAGAGCCTGTTGCTGCAGCAGCAGCAGCAGCAGCAGCGCATGCCCCGGCCCTGCCAGCCTCAGAGCTGTTAAGAAAAGTTATCCACAACTTGCAAATAAGGCAAAAAGATGCCGGTGAGCCCTTTCAAACACATTCTGGAACAGTGGTTTTCCAGTGTGGCACCCGCACCACCAGTAGCCGCATCCCCTGGGAACTTGCTAGAAATGCAGACTCTTGGGACTCACCTCAGACACATTGAATCAGAACCTCCTGGGGGCGGGGCTTAGCCATCTGTGTGTTCCTAAGCCCGCAGGTGATTCTTTTTAATATATTTTTATTGATTTCAGAGAGGAAGGGAGGAGAGAGATAGAAACATCAATGATGAGAATCATTGATCAGCTGCCTCCTGCACGGCCCCCACTGGGGCCTGAACCCACAACCCGGGCATGTGCCCTGATCAGGAATTGAACCGTGACTTCCTTGTTCATAGGTTGATGCTCAACCACTGAGCAACACCAGCCGGGCAGCCCTCAGGTGATTTTGATGCTCCCTAAAGTTTGAGAAGCACTGCTCCAGAGCTGCACTACCCCGCACAGCAGCCACAGGCCCTGTGTGGTACTGAGCACTTCAAATGCAGTTTGTCTGAGCTGAGATGTGCTGTAAGTATAAAATACCTGTCATATTTCAGTCACTTAGAAAAAATGTAAAATACCTCATTAGTGTGTGTGTGTGTGTGTGTGTGTGTGTATATATATATATATATTTTTAAATACTCATTGGAGGATATTTTTTCCATTGATTTTTTTTTGTTAGAGAGAATAGAGGGAAGGGAAGTGGGGGAGAGAGAGAGACAGACAGACAGACACATCAATTGATTACCTCACACACACACCCCAACTTGGGTTGGGGATCGAACCTGCAACCAGGGTACGTGCCCTTGACCAGGAATCAAACCCGAGACCCTTCAGTCCATGAGCTAACACTCTAGCCCAGCTGTGGGCAAACTACGGCCCGTGGGCCGGATCCGGCCTGTTTGAAATGAATAAAACTAAAAAAAAAAAAAAAGACCGTACCCTTTTATGTAATGATGTTTACTTTGAATTTATATTAGTTCACACAAACACGCCATCCATGCTTCTGTTCCGGCCCTCCGGTCCAGTTTAAGAACCCATTGTGGCCCTCGAGTCAAAAAGTTTGCCCACCCCTGCTCTAGCCACTGAGCCAAACCAGCCAGGGCTCATTAGTAACTTATTTGGTATTGATTACATGTTGCAATGATAATAATTTTGGATATACTAGATTAAATTAAATATATTTTCATAATTAATATTACCACTTCTTTTAAAAAATGTGGCTACTAGAAAATGTAAAATTACATATGTGGCTTGCATTATATTTATATTGACTATGTTGCTATAGAGTATTATGTTAACAAAGCCATTTAAGAGTTAGCTGATTATCCAGGGGAAAGTAACTTTGACTCATATTTGCTATTGATGGGGCCCAGATGACATAAAGTTAGGTGCTAACCTACAGAAAACTGGTAAGTTGCAAATGATTTTTGTTGGGAGAAGTAAATATTTCTGTTTGGTAGAGAAATTAACCCTAAAGGTTATAATTTTATTTATTGCCCTATGGACTTTAACTAGCTTCATGTCTAACTTGGCAATCTCATTCCAGTATTTTTCACATATTCCATTTCTTCTCCAGTTCTCCCTCCTCCCCTCCCCCCTTTCCTAACTATGTACTCTCCTGGAAGGAAGAGAGCCTGGCAGGGTCTAGGTAAGTGAGGACGAGCCATCCTGCTCTGGAGCCAGGGACATCCTACAGGGACCTAAGACAGGAAGGGATGTGAATTGTGTTGAGGGGCTGTGAAGCTCTGATGATCCCTCAAGCCTGTATGATTCCAGGGGTGGGGAAGAATGAGGAGATGGGAGAAGAGGGGAGGGGGTTTCTGAAAAGCCCCACTACTCCCACGGGGCTGGAAGTCTGAGGAAGCTACCTTTACCTGGCTGGGCAGAGTCAAGCCCACAGCCCTGGTTGAGCTGAGTACCCCTAGGGAGGGTGAGCATTTTACTATGCCCCTGGGTCAGACAGAGCCTGTGCCCAGTGCTTTCCCTATTGTGGCCATGAGGCTCTTTGGGGGTGTGATCCCACAGAAAGGGTGGTAAGAGAAAGGTCAAGTCCCAGGAGCTGCCATTGGAATTACCAG